TCCACCAAGATGGAGGCATAGGTGGATATGCCGTGCCTTCTCACACAACCAAGTTTAGAGACAACTAAATATTAGCAACAGAAAACACAGCCAGAACACAGAAAATTGAACTTTTCGGAAGTCTGATAACAAATTCTTCAGCCTGACCGGTAAGGGGCGAAACCAGCAGCTGGTGGAGGGGGGTTGCACAGGAGGACTCGGTCAGACGGACTCAGGCGCGCGGAATCCAGGCGCAGGGTTGGACCTAGTGAGTGACCTCGAGAGCGACCGTGGGGGAAACAGCGAGGGAGCAGGGCTTTGGGTTGACTGTGGTCTCGCATTTGTGCATGGATAGACAAGCGAGGGAGTGGAGGATTGGACAGGACCCTGCGGGTCCCCGCGGTGAGGGCACCGTCATTTCCCCGCTTGGACCCCACCTCCACATACAGCGTCATAACCCTGCGACTCTGAGTGGCCTGGCCCAGATGAACCACCTAAGACGCTAATCCTCACCCAGCTGTGAGAAACTGCAGAGGGGGTCGCCATTTCCCCGCTCTGACCACGCCCCCACATACAGCGTCACAACCCAGCGACCTGGGAGTCCCTGGCTCCACTCCTCACACTTAAAGGGCACGAACAGACCAAAAATGGCTCAAGAAGATCTCAAAGCCCCAGAGCCTATAAATCTAAGCGATAAAGAAATAGCAAAACTCTCAGACGCACAGTTTAAAACACTGGTGATCAGGATCCTCACAGAACTGGTTGATTATAGCCACAAATTAGACAAATATTTGAAGGCGAAACTAATTGAAATGAATGGAATTGCACAAGAAACCAATAGCAATGAAAAGGAAACTAGGACTCAGATCAATGGAGTGGACCAGAAGAAAGCAAATAATGGCCAAACAGAAAAGAATCAAGAAGCAAGAATTAAAAGAAATGAAGAGAGTCTTAGAAACCTCCAGGACATCTTTAAACGCTCCAACATCCGAATTATAGGGGTACCAGAAGGGGGAAAGGCACAGCCACCAGTGGAAAACTTATTTGAACAAATAATAAAGGAGAATTTCCCCAATCTGGCAAAGGAAATAGACTTCCAGGAAATCCAGGAAGCTCAGAGAGTCCCAAAGAAGTTGGACCCAAGAAGGGACACACCAAGGCACATCATCATTACATTAGCCAAGATTAAAATGAAGGAGAGAATCCTAGAAGCAGCAAGAGGGACAGTCACCTACAAAGGAGTTCCCATCAGACTGTCAGCAGATTTCTCAAAAGGGACCTTACAGGCAAGAAGGGGCTGTAAAGAAGTATTCCAAGTCATGAAATCCAAAGACCTACATCCAAGATTGATCTATCCAGCAAAACTTTCATTTAGAATGGAAGGACAGATAAAGTGCTTCTCAGATAGGATCAAATTCAGGGAGTTCATCATCACCAGGCCCTTATTGTGTGAAATGTTAGAGGAACTTATGTAAGAGAAAGAAGTTGGGGGAAAAAAAAAAGAATGTAAAGGTTTTAAAGTTTAGTAAATAATTCTTTGTTCCTGCCTCTCCTGGGTGAGGAAGCAGTGAGAGGAAAAGGAGTGCAGAGTCCAGCAGCTGCAAAGCCAGTCTGGAGCCTCTACACAGACCAGGCTGCGCATGCGCAATGGCAGGGGGCTGGCTGCCCTTCCCAATGAGACGCTGCTAACGTCGCCACACGGTCCACACAGCTGCACGCCCTCTCCTGATAAAACGTGATAAAGCAGGTGAGAGAACACCTGCTTCCTGGACTAGTCGGTTTGCAGCAAGAGGACGGGGCTGAGGGCACGTTCTGCTGCTCTGCCCATCGGATACGTGGAGAATGGGGAGTGAAGAGAGATGAAGGGCAGGACCAAGGGGTGGACGAGATGTAAACGCGGGAGTAGGGGGTGGCCTCCCCTCCTAACAACCGTCGTTTAGTCTCTGATTTGCACGGGCGTGTTCATGCATCGTGGAACCAGAGAGCCGCCCTTTGTGAATTTGCCGCCTCAGCTCTCCTTGCAATAAATAGTGATTGTTCACAAAGATTCAATTCAGGGAAGTGAAACTTGTTACTGTGTCCATGGCTCTGGTAAAGGGTGGGCTATGTTAAATTACCCACTGAGTATTAATTCACTGGGTGGTTAAGTGGAAGGGCTGGTGGAATACACCGTGGTGGAGAGGTTTGGGGAGGGTTGGGGGTGAGAATGGTTGGTCAGGAGTTCTTCAGTGTATGTTTTTCAAAGGTTAGCCCTTCTAACACATTTCACACTCCCCTCGGGTTCTTGTTACAATCCTGGGCCAATCCCTGACCTAACACATTGGTCTCTAGAGGAAAAGCCTGGGATGAATATTTCAACACGCTCCTTAAGGGCCTTATGCTCACGAAAGCTTGGAACTGCTGCCTTGCACAGGAACTACAGACACCTGGAGGAATATGAATAAACTCAAAGTAAATTAGTGAATTTATAAGCATAGCAGGCTGTTATTTACTTTGAATTATTTATGCTAGTCTTCTGATTTGGAGTCAGGCCCGCCACCCATGCCGTGCTCCCAAAACTCCGAAGTGAACATGTTTTACTTTTATGAGTGCGTTTGAATTTCGGATGCCTAACATTTCCCAACAGTCATCAGTACACCTTTTCCTAAAACAGTGGTCCCAATCGGGGCACGGCTTCTTACCTCAGCCACTAATCAGGGTCTTTGATCCAGAATCACAAACCGGGCTCATTCCCCTCCTACCGGGCTCTGGCATCTAATTGGCACTAATTTTTTTTTTAATGTCAAGGTCCTCTTCCTTTTAGGAAAAAGATTTCACTTGTCCTACTAGCTAAGCGTTTGCACTCAGTGTTTCTCAAACTTAATGTGCAGTGGAAAAATCTAGAGGACTTGTGATGTCTGCAAGGTGCCTGACTCAGTGAGCATGCGAGCTGGGCCCGCGCGCTGGGCCGTCGCCGCTCTGGCTGCCGGGGCAGGAGCCGTCCTTTAGCCTGCTTGGGCAGTCCCGCTTCCCGAGTCCTGATTCTCCTCCTGCCACAATCACCCAGCACGAGAACTAACTCGGGGTCGGTGAAGGGCTGTGCCCTGCCTGGAAAAGCCTCATCAGTCCCAGGAGGAAGCCCTGCTCACCTGCCCCGTCCCCCTGGCTGTCCAAGGCTCCTTTGTCCAGGTGTCAAGCTCCCATGGCTTTCAAGCACACCTAGGTGCTCCGCTGCGGGCAGCGATGCTTAGCTTCCTCTGTCCTCGCCTTTGGCTAATAGGATGGGCACCGTGGACAGACGTTTGCTCAGAGGGCGGCAGAGACCAGGCTGTGGGTGCTGGGGCTCAGCTCCCACAGGGCAGGGGGAGGGAGGGAGTCAGATAGGGGTCCCTGGGCAGGAGATCCATAGGTTCCCTAATTTGTTCCCTAGCTTTCCCCGTGTCTTTGTAAAAATTCAACTGGCACAACTCGGAGGTCCAGGGAAAAGGAGATTCTCTCTGTAACTGGGACTGTTTCCTGAGCCCTCTCCCAGGGGGTCTTGGGCAAAAATTAGTTAATTTTTGGTGTAGTTACACCTTCAGTCCAGTCTAAAGCTTACTTATTCCCTTTAGATGAATGGGGTTCAGTGTCTGTTAGTTAAAAATGCTCAAGCTTTTTTTGTCTCTGTCCTGAGACTGTGTCTGATATTGAAAGACAGAGCTTACTTGACCCCGTGGCTTCAGGGGCAGTTCGTGTCCCCAGGGAGCCCCAGAGACCTTGTGCCACCCACTGGCTGTCCTTGTGTCTGGACGGTGTTTCTGGACTAGTAGTGCAGCTGAACGAGACCTGGCCCTGTTCTCCCCGCCGCTGCTTGTTCACGCCACTTCGTTGGGAGGCCTGGGTCTGAATGAGTCTTTATTTCCATAAAGTTCCCCTTGTAAACTGAATCGTTTTAGTGGAAAGAGAATAAAATGTTTCTGGAGCTTTGTCTTATTCTTGCTAAGACTGCAAGGACTTGGGAAATAGTTTCCCCACGGTAAAGCAGATAAAGAAGTTAGAGGGGAACTTTCCTGAGTTGTCTTGTGGGAAGGAGCCTGGGTTAGAACAGGAGACGTGGTTCCTGGCGAATGCAGGGAAGTGGGAAGAAACTAAGACAAAGGCAAGGGGTGTGTGTGTGTGTGTTTGTCTGTCTGTCCGTTCTGGGCAACACCTCTCTGACTCTCTCGCAGAAAAACTGTCTGGTGCAGCCTGGCTCCCTAGAAGTGACTGCAGGTTAGCAGTGAGCAATGAGACTGCAGGCAGCCCTCCCTTCATTGTGCTTCACGGATATTGTGAGTTTTACAAATTGAAGGCACAGCTGTCCGCCAGTGAAAAAGATTACAGCTCACTGTATTGCGATACGTGCTTTATCGAGGTGTTCTGGAACAGAACCTGCAGTATCCCAGGTGTGCCTGTATTGATCTCATTTATGGTAGACGCTCAAGTTATTTGGTGTAGATTTGGATGGAGATGAAGCTTAAGAACTGGGCCACTAGTGACCATCTGACGCACTGCACCTACAGTCTCTCCCCTGTTCTCCGGACGGGCCTTTCTCCAGGACCAAGGATGAGTACTGGGCCTGGAGCGCCATTTCAAAGCACCCAGTCCTCACTTCAAACTGCAGAGAGAAAGAACACAACAGCTTAGCCTAAAACAAGGTGTGATTATGCCACTCGTCTTATAAAACCCTTTACCGACCCCCTTCTGTCCTTTACCCCCTTAGGCTAAAATACAAACTCTTTAACAAGGGTGGCGAGGCCCCTTGTAACCTTACCCTTTAAGGCAGGCAGAATAACACCCCCCCCCAAAGGTGGAACATGCCCTAATCCCCAGAACAACCTGTGCCTGAGTTAGGTCACATGGCAAGGGGCGAATTAAACTTGCTAATGAGCTGGCATTAGGCTAGGGGAGAGCAACCTGGATTATGCAGGTGGGGCCCATGTAATCACAATGGTTATTAAAAGTCGAAGATGGAGGTGAGAGGGGAGAGAGATGTAGTGCTGAGGTGGTCGGCTAGTGTGGGCTCTGAAGGGGGGAAGGGAAGCCGTGAGCCACGAAAGGAGGGCGGCCTCTAGAAGCTGCAGCAGGCAAGGAAGTGCTCTCTTGGAGCCTCCAGAAGGAGCACCGCTGGGCCAACACCCCACGAGACCCACCTCGGACTAACAGCCCACAGAACCGTGAGAGGCTACGTTTGTGTTGTCTAACGTCACCTAGTTTGTGGTGGTGAGTTGGAGGATTTAAGCTCAGCTTCCAAACGGGAAAGCCAGCAGCATCTTTCTCTGATTTTCCCCCTCTCCCACTGTAGCTCCTTCCTTCATTTCGGTTCTCGCAGCGCATGGTTAAGTGAGAGAAACTTCCTGGACTAGAGCCTTCTCCCTTGTGCTCGGTGAGGGACGTGTTATCCTGAAAATTACTCAAGACTATGGGTGTAAAATGATTCATTCCAGAATGCCCGTTAGACCCAGCAGACCCTGAAGGCCAAAAGTACTTCTTAAGGCAGGGAGGAGTCTAGGCCTTGCTTGGGGTCAGGGCCCTCAGGTCAGCCTCACTGAGACGGTGAGATTGGAATGGAGATGAGAGGATACGAGGGAGGAACGCCATGTACATCTGGGGGGCCTTCCAGGCAGAAGGAACGGCAGGTGCAAAGCCCATCATTCATCCTCTGTTAGAGAATTAGTTTTAAAAGATTTTATTTATTTATTTTTAGAGAGGAGAAGGGAGGGAGAAAAAGAAACATCGGTATGTGCTTGCCTCTCATGCGCCCCCTACTGGGGACCTGGCCTGCAATGCAGGCATGTGCCCTGATGGGGAATGGAACTGTTGACTATTTTGCAGGCCAGCACTCAGTCCACTGAGCCACACCAGCCAGGGCAAAATCAGAGGATTATTAATAATATGACTCCCTGTCCTGCTCTCAGTCCACTGGTTCAATCAGTGACTATCTGGTCAGACCTTTTAGATTGGGTCGAATCTCTGTTCCCCAGCTTCCAAAATCTTGTATTTACCTGCTCCCCAAAGTCTGCAATATTAGGCCGAACCACATAAAATTGCCAATATGCAACCATTTCTGGCCCACAAAAATGTCAGCTTCCTACAGCTCAGGCTCAGACATTCGGCAGGGTCCCAGGCTGTGATGAAAATGTGTTCAATGCAAGCATCCTACACATGGCTGGGAGGAGGCATTTTTTGGAGTGAAGTAACAGTTTTTATTTTAAAATATCGATATTTACAGGACAGCAGAAAGTATATACTTTGGCAACTCTAACTTTCCATGAAAAACTTTAGATGTCAATTGGAAAGTGAGACGGGATACATGGCTTTTCAAGATGCTTCTGGGAAGTCCACTGCTTGCTGCACTGTGTGTCCAGCCGAGGCCGGGGGACCACCTGTAGTAAAGCCACCTGGGAGGGTGGCTCCTTCTTTAGCAGAAATGCAGATACCTGGTGTCCATCTGGACTGAGTCACTCAGGTTTGGGTTGGACCCCAAGTCAGTCAAGTTTCCAGATGGACCCCGATGGTCCTCATGCAAACCAGCACTTAAGAAACACTGCTTCAGAAACCAAACTGGATTTACAGTGTTTCAGACATGGCTGAAGAGGGAGACAGCTCACCCCCGTTTTTGGACGGAGGACTGAACTGAAACAAGCCGTGTTTTTTCTCTTGTCCCTCTTCCTCTCTGAGAGTCTTGCTGCCTTCACTTCTACACAGGTGTGTAGGGAGCTGCCAGCTGGGCCTTTACTACAAGCAGTTCCACCTGGTGGTCACCCAGGTGAGAGCAGAAAACACCTTTGGGAAAGAGGAAGGCAGGGTATTCTGGAGAATTCTCCCAGGCACGGTCTGGTTTGAGGAGTTTTCCCTCCGGTCTCCCTAAAGTTTATGCAGGAGGCTCCCCCACTGCCTGGCTGATTGGCTATACGGGAGTTCAGGTCAATACCCACCCCTGGGGGGCAGGGTCCAACCCTCAGGTCAACCGCCCTCTCAGTGCAGTTGGCTAAAGAGTGAACATGGATGAGGGCAGGTGGTCTTTCTTCTGGGCTCACGGCTGCTTTATCTCACCTGCCAGCCTTTTTAGCGATGGCCCTGCCCAGCGGTGGGGCTGGAGCAGAGAGGCGGAGAGCTGCCACTGGGTGCGGAGCTTCCCCAAGGCTTTAGGTTTGGTGTGCGCATGCCCTTTGGGACGGTTACCCGCACACGTTGTCCCAAGGCTGACCTCTTCAGGGAGGACTTCACGCTGGACTTGTGTTGTTTACCCTGAATGCCGCCAGTGAGTGTGTGTATGTGTGTGGGTGGGCGGAGCGGGTGCCTATGGACATAAACATTCAAAATTTACCACAATCCTGATAAACTTCCTTTTCACATTCCTTTGTTTAAAAAAATATACTAGAAACCTCAAAAAAAAAAATAGAAGTGACCTAGCCCTGTTTAAAACCGCCGTGAGACTATCAACTTCACTGACCACATCAAGGAATTGAGAAAACAGAGGGCTCCTCTGTGACCCCTGGACCACCCACATCAGTATCACCTGCAAATTCGGGATCCTTCTCCTGACCTACCGAGTCAGAACTATTGTCCTAACTCCCGGGCCAGAGAGCTTGTGTTTGAAGCGAGTCCCCCCATGTAACTTATGCAAACTCGAGCCTGACAGCATATGACTGGGGAGTTGATGGGCCACTGGACACTGGGTTTCACAAGGACGGGAGGGGGCAGGGCCGGGGTTAGGGAGAAAGCCAAAGGCCTCGGTGAAGGTGAAGGAGTGACCGAGGGTGACGGAGGGGAGGGGTGGAACGGCGATGGTGTGCGGACAGCATGGCTCTCCAGGGAGAAGTCTCTCCTGAGGTGACAGGACATATGTCTCCGGCCCATCATCTTTCCCAAGCTTTTCCTGAGATGTCGTCGCCTTGTTTGAGCTCCATGGTCACACTGGGAAGTTCTCAGTGGGCCAGGTAATAGTCAAAACCTCCTGGCCAAAGAGGTCAGACATACACGTGCCGTTTCCTGTCCTCGCCCCGAGGCCCCTCCGTGGCCCCCCACTCCTGGTAACCCCCAGATGGAAACAGCAGGCTCCCACGGGGCTCTGCTGGTATTTAACCCCCAGTGTTTGATGATGACCTGATAACGAGTTACTGGTGGAGTTCAGCTTTCTAGAAGGACATGTGGAACCTACTTGTGAAATCCTGACAGCTTATTAATAATTCAGGGTGACTTGCAATCAGGATGAAAATTTGCTTCTTTGAATGCAGAGGAAGGAAAATTAAGGATAATTTCCTGCTAACTTGAAACAGGCCTTGACCGCAGGGCCCCTCTGCCCACTTGCTTTGTTTCTGGGCCTTCCATGAGTCACACTCCTGACCACTGGCACAGCCGGTGGGCCGGCCAGGAAGGGAGGTTGGTTGGGACCGGTGGCAGAGTTTCAGTGCAAGATACCCAGCCGGTCACAGCTGCAACTTCACCGTCTTCCCCGGGGACCTTCTGAAACCTGGGCTTCCGGCTGGAGTGACTCAGCAGGCTGCCAGCCTCACCGAGGCACAATTTCCCGAGTGTTTGTCTATCCCTTGGCCCGAGATCCCCTTGGACCCTACTGAGCTGCGAGCTTCTGTTTCGAGTCTCCGGCTGCAGCTGTTCATTCCCGGGAGCGCCAGCAGGGTGCGCAGCACTGCCCTTAGTCCTGGGCAGCAGGGGCCTCCGACCCAAGAGTCCTGCCTCAGCGGGGCCAGCGCGTCACACGCGTCACAGACACTGAATCACAAACACTTCTTCTGTCTTTGTGGTCTAGTAAGAGTTGTTTTTTTAAGTGTTTTGTAACCAACTGAATGAATAAGAAATTATTGGAAAGGGACAACTATGTTTTCTGATACCAGATGTGTTGTTCTGACACACACGCACTCGTATTCTCTGATATCAGCTGGGTGTCCCATGACTTAATTCAGTGCTGACATCTCCAGGGTTAGTGCAGAGCCCGCAGGGGAGGGGCCCGTGTCACAGGGCTGCCCCACTTCAGGCGCCGTTTGCAAATGGGGTATGCAGGTGACCTGCACTTCCTCCCAGCCGACCGCAGCCTCAGGCGACCCACCTGCTCGCAAACATGATCTGCTGGAAATAACCAGGGGAGAGCCAGAGGGAAGAGACGCACAGGGCACGGGAGGTGGGCGCGCCCCCGCCAGGCGGGCCGTCCCTCTGCACGTTCATGGGCTCCCCAGCCCGGAAGCCCTCTGACTCTCCTTGTTCGAGTGCGTCCCCAGGTTTTCACGTTGGTGTGACTGATTATAGCAGTGGTCATTGGCGGCTAAACTCAGGCTCCTCTCCCTTGCCTGGAGATCAGGAGGTGATGGTTCCTGGTGACCAGCTCCCATCCTGAAGCCAGGGCCTGCGCATGAGTTGCCTGAGTACAAACTCTGGTGTGGTTGAGAGGAGCTTGTTATGCGTAATGAAGACATCCATGTGACTCAGGAAATTTCAGGGTTTAGGAGCTCTGTGCCAGGAAGCAGGTATAAAGACAGATGTATTTATTTTTTTTTAAAAAATTATGCTACAGCTATAAACTGTATAGATATACACGGGGTTTCCCAAGCCAGGGGAGGTTGTGATGCAGTTTGTAAGGTTTTTAGAACTGCTTGTGGATTTTTAGTTGGAAAAGTGAGAGAGATGGAGGAGGAAAACCATTGTGGCCAGTGAGTCTCCACCATGGATTTGGCTTCGGTCATGACCCAGGAGTCCTGTGTTTGGGCCACAAGTTCTTGGGAGGCAGGGCTGGCCTGGCGTGGCTCATTTAGCCTCTCAGTCCCAAGGGCAGTCCTTGGGGAGCAGGCTGGGCCCAGGAGGTAGCTTGTTCGATAACTTCTAAACATGAAGACATTTGATGTGTGGTCCTTTAACCGTACGCTCGCTCCAGGCCCCGCAAATGCTAGAACAAGCCTAAATAACCATCTCTCCGGGCCCAGAACTGGCAGGGAAAACATCCGAGGCCGCTGTAGAGAAACCCGGCTGCACCTCTCCCTACTGCCTGGGCTGCAGGAGGCTGGAATGAGCACGGGCAGTGGGAGGGTTCAGAACGGTGGGAGGACCAGGAGAAATATGCACCCGGGCCACTCTGAGATGGCCCCAGGGGGGCCCTGGGTCTCCTGCCATGGGGGCGGGGTGGGCAGGGCAGGACCATGACGCTCAGAGCTGCTTCACCTTCACTTCCAATTTCCCTGCTCCACTCATCTGACAATCTACTTTAAAAATTATCATTTTGCCCCCAGAGTTGTCTTCCCCAAGGGAAATGGAGAGAAGAGATGTTTTTCAGCTTGTACCTTTTGTCCGCACCTTCTAAGGTTCTGAGGCCCATTCAGCTCAGCTGGTCCCTCAGCACTGGATGACTGAAGGAGCGTTTCCCTAATGCCAGTGCATCTCAAAGGCAGAAAGGACACCTGGCTGCTGGCAACACACGACCAGCCGGTTTCTCATGCACAGCGGCTGGGGAGAGCAAATGGAATCTCATGCTGCGTTAGTTCATCTGTTGTCTAAAATCAAGGACAGATGCAAGACAATCAGCCCAAAACAAATTGCCATTTTGTGCAGCCATGGGCTTAAGTTGGTCCCATGGGGCTTTGTTTGCAATGATTTCCGAGTTGGAAGAAGGTGGTCCCTGTTATTAGCTGATCAGCAACGCCATTGTCAGCCACGCTGATTTCTCCTCATAAGGGGCTTCCTTGGTGCTGAGGCTCGGTACTGATTTTCTTTTCTTTTCCATTCCTTTTATGTGTTTTTCCAGAGATTTTATTTTTCTCCTGTTTTAAATTGAGAAAAGTAGAAAGAAAATATATACCCAAAACATACATATAAAAACTGATTTCGTTTAGTCAAATGTGCATATTTTAAGTTAAATTTATTGGGGTCAAAATAGCATAATTTTCAGGTGTACAAGGTGTGTTGGCAGCACAGCTCTTTGCTTCCTGAAGATGGCCACCAGGGGGCAGCCCACACATGACCAGGCCTAGGTTTGTTGCCGAGGCAGTAAGGATGGCCTGGGGGCAGGCCTGAGACAGGGCAAAACTGGAGAGCTTTGGAAAAGAGAAGCTACTAGGAGACAAGGAGACCTCCCCTTGCCCTGGAAGATCCCTAGAATCAGCCTGCAGAGACGAGGAGGCTGTGAGGGGAGTGGAGACATGAGCTTGCGAGGCTGGTGGCTTGTTCTGGGGACAGCTTGATTGCTATTGATCTTGGAGCTATAAATAAATTTTAATGAATAGGCGAATTGACATATAAGGACTCTGTGACTGGTGGAGTTCTATTGGAACTTGGCCCTTGGTGTACATGGTGGTTTTTAATCACAGCCCCAGTGGTTTGGCACTAGTCCCATTGAGAGGTAGGTCTCTATCATTTCCCCTTGGCTATGGGGAGATACCCCAGTGGTGCGAGTTCAGTTCCAATTTGCGCAAAGGTGACTGGGCGTTTTAATGGGAACATGAGAGACAGTAGGCGTGAGGAGTGAGCGAGGGCCCCAGTATGGTCAGAAAGTGAGAAACTACTACCGCCAGGTAAGAGGGATGCTTGGTGTCAGTGCGAGTGGGTCATCTGTGCCTGCCGAGGGGCACGAGTCAAAGCCAGGATTCTGCCTCCCCACCAAGGCGGGCAGACAGGTGCCCTTGGCTTCCTGATGGTTACATTCCAGAGCGATGACTCTCAGGTCCTTGAGAGCAACAGTCCTGGGCTGTGGGAGGCACACACACATCTCTAAAGGGACAGAGAGAGGAGTCACAATGATAAGCTTTTCACAAATGCTCGAAGAATAGGGAGGTCAGGGGCCCATGGGAACAAATACTAAATTCTCTTGGCACGTTTGATCTTTCCAGACAGAAACTCAATTTGGGCTGAGTCATCCCAGGGACAAATCTTAGGCTGCTAGAAGCCAAGATCAAGTCTCAGTGCAGGGGTCAGGAGTCGTTCATGCCAAGTTTCTGCAGTTCTGAATATGGAGCAGACAAGCCGGACCCTCTGCGTCCCGTCAGAACCCTTGACACACAGAATCGGTGAGCATGAGAAAGTGGTGGCTGTTCTTACACCACCACGGGTGGGAGTAGCTGGGGATGCAGCAACAGTGTTCATCTGGCCAAAAAGTTCGTGTGGTTTGTTTTTCCATAAAATAAAAGACACATTTTTCATTTTCACCAATAACTTTATTGATTTGTATATTTTTAATATGTTGGCTATCTATCATGTGCTATAACATTGATCTCAATATCTTCATTTGATCACTATCAACTGGTCTACCTGACCATGGAGTATCATCCAGCTAGAAAACTCCAGCACAAAACTTTGCAAGCCACTTTTGACATATTCAATCAGTCACAGCACCTTCTCCACACACAGCACACATCTTTTTTTACATTTCTGTTGCATTTTTACCTTTCTCGAAATAATAAAGCATATTCTCCAAAAATGTCACTTATTTTCTTCCAGCTTCAATATTAAAATGGCTACACAAAAACTCACCAATTTTGATGTTTTTAAGTGCATGCTGATATGACAGCTGTCACAATACAATCTAACAAAATTGTTTTGAATGAAATTCGAGACAACTAAGAGCTACTAGATCCATCTTACCCCTGGTAGGAGAGGCTCCCTAGCCCCTGAGTCTGACTAGTGTGACAAGCCGGGCCATTGAAGCCTCGGTGGACTGTTCATTCCATCCTCAAAGTCATGGTGTGATGAATCTTCAGCAACTGGCTGCTCTGGGGTCAGAGTGGAGAAGTACAGCTCTTTCCCTTGGCACTGTGCTCATAGATTAGATCCAGGATTGTGTAGCCTGGCGGGATCGGGGTGCAGTGGAAAAAGCAAGTCAGCAGCCTGAACACTTTCCTGCCTGTGTCAGGAATAACTGGGTTAGCAAATGGACAGCCTTCAGGAGGGACTGCAGCGAAAAACTGTGCAGCGGCAGTGGGGGGCGGGGCGCGGTACACAGGGTGATGTCAGTGGGATGCTGAAGTGGACGGATCCTGCTCTTTCTCAGGGCACATCATGTCCCCAAACACTTTAATTACAAGAGGGTCGCTTGAATGTTCAGGTGCCCATAATGAATTGTTCATCACTAGCTATGATGGTTAGATTAGCTCTGCATGTTCAACCTGAGTGGTTTCCTAATTTCAGTTTCTACCTAGAATAAGTTTCCTCCTATAAGTTGCTAAAAGAACTTTAGCTGTTTTTCTTAGATCCTTAACTTGGCATGAATGAATGTAATCGACCCAGTTTTATTGAGCACATATCATGTACTAAGCAGTGGACAAGGTTCTGGAAATAGAACTACCCAATGATATTTTCCCTCTCCTCGAAGAATTGAGTCTGGAGGAACGGCATGTAGGTATTGTTAGCAGGTGCTTCCCAGCCTGGGGTTAAGAATGCAATGTCAGTGATGGTTAAGAGCTGGTTTTTCCCTGTTCCCTCCTTCTCTGAGGGAATGCCAGTCCCTGTGAATTCCTCTCCAAGGTTTCTGGGAGCAACAAGAGACCAGCTCCCGGGCACTGGTGCTCTTGAGGCCCTTCCCGCAGGCAGCACTGTCTTCCTGGCCTGCACAGCTGGCTGTGGGCATGTTTTCCAGTTGCTCTAGTAGCCAAAGAGGAAGCTGTGTAGTGACAGTGCCAGGGGCACCACGTGGCTGCCATTTGGGTGCTGTTGCCTGATGTCGGCCTCCAGCTGGACCGTGCTCCCTGGTCCCTTGTACTGCCTTGGCTCCAGGTACCGCATCTCGTCATTGTGGAGGCTGCAGGCACCGTCACTGCGGACCCCTAGGCCTGGCAGCATCCCAGAGTTGGAGATGGAGTGAGCCAGGCTCCACCTCTGAAAGGAGGGGCCCAGGGAGAGGCAGTGGGCAATGCCTGGTAGGGCAGTGGGTGGGTAAGGCAGGGGCACCCTCTTAGTGACCTTGTGCTTGCCCTTCACACTGCTTACTCCAAGTCCTCATCCTCTTCATCCTTGCGCTGTCCTCCCCCACCTCCTCCCTTCTTCTTCTTCTTCACCCCTCTCCCTTGCTCTGACCTCGCCACCCCTTCCCTCTTGACCCTGACCCCTGGAGGTGTGGAAAAGGGTAGAGAAGCCCTTCCCATTTGCATCTGAGAGATGCTCTCCAAGCCAGCTTCACCATTAGTAAAGATGCTACTTTAATCTGGCCAACTATGTCTATTGTTTGGTTGGAAACACCATTTGGAGGTTTATTCCAACCCTCCGACATGTCACTTTTTCATTTTGCTTTGGTTTATGGCCACTGGCTCTCGGATTCAGAGACCTGGGCCCCCAGGGGCTGGTCTGAGACTCTTTCCAACATTAAGATGCTTTTATCAAGCTGATGTGCTTTGAATTCTGATACATCATTTTTCCTCATCAGTCCTTTTCTGAGGTCTGAATTTTTGGGTGAGCTGAGTTTTACCCACACCAGAACCCTGCCCTCATTCCAAGACGATCATTGTTCTACTAGGTACTCAACTTCAGGAGCTTCGATATGTTGAGTCAGCTGATTCTCTGTCGTGGGGAGGAGCCGTCTGCAGGATGTGAGCAGGGTCCCTGCCTCTACCCACTACCTGTCAGAATCACTCCCTCCTCCCCCACCCGTTGTAAAGCCAAAAATGTCTCTTGGGGGACAAAATCCTGGTCATGAGCCTCTGTGCTGTCTTCTGGACTGAAAACACATTTTCTCCCACAACCTGTGCCCTCACACATTCTAGGGATCGCCTGCCGATGCCTGGAGTTCCCTGCCTCAACGCTTTCGACCGTTCCCCGTGAGTGGGCGCCGTGTCCACACGCCCAAATCCTGCCTTTGCCTGTTGCACGTGCCATGCAGTGCGCCACCTCTGAAAAGATTGGATTTCCAGACCAAACCCCTCTAGATGCAGGTTACTGTTCCTCAAGCACCGTGTCCACACTTTGGATAAGATGAGGCGTAGGTAATGCTGAACACACCGGATCGGGTATCGCGGAGAGTTTTAGGCGTCACTTCAGATTGTCATGTGGTAGATCGTCAGCTGTTGCAGTCATTCATGAGAAGAGACCTACGTTCTCTCCTTCACCTGGGATGTGACTCCTCTGGTAACAAACAGGTCCAGGAGGGAATCTGCAAGGAGTATGGAAGAATTTCACAGCATCCTCCTCCAGGATGCTAAACTCCAGGGTACCAGTGGTTGGGGGGTGAGAGTCTCACGGCAGGGGTAAATGAATCGCATAGACAGGTTGCTGAGTTTGTTCATTTATTGATGCCACACAATGGCAGGCTATGATTACAGTCTGGTTTTAAATACTGAGGAGCCCAGCAGGGCGCCCCCTTGAGGCTGGGGCTGGCAAAGCAGCACAGAGATGCAGGAAAGCAATGGGTCTGGCCATTACATCACACAACCATTCTGGAGGACAATGATAGATAGAATTGTGCTTCCCAACCATGTTTAAAAAATGACATAACTTAATAAGAATAATGCTAATAACATCAATAGTACTTGAATTAGCAATACAAAAACGAGGAGTAGCATCAGACCTGTTGGCTGAGTTGTAGCACCAGGCAGTTCACGTCATGTGTTCTCTCTCTTGCAAGTGAGTCACTGTGAGGAGGGCACCAGATACGCTGTCCCAGGACTTGACCCTGAAGTCGGCAGGGAGAGGGGCCGAGACCCACCGTCCCTGGGGTAGCGATGTGTAGCTTTCAGAGCTTAGAGGGCTTTGGCCAAATGATTGGGAAATTATGACCTCAAAGAATATGAACCCCTCAGGTTGCATTTCAGAAACTTGACGATGCCTGTTAAAACATTCACTGAACGTCTGAAAGTATCACTTGGAGATGATTCTGCCAATTGGGTGTCAGGAGAAAAGATGGAGGTTTGCTCTTGTTTCAGAAAACCCATCACAAAAAAAGTCATTTGTACAGAGGCCATTGTCTGCATCACCAAATGATTTGTTTCACTGTTTAGACTCTTGAAATACTGTTTTCTCACGGTGCTGAAGTAGGTTTTGTGTTCAAGAATTAAACTGACCCACAACCTTGCAGAGAAGCCTTAACTCTACCACTGTGGATGGCAAGGCGAACCAAACTGGGTCTGAGGACCATCAGGTGTTTGAGCACCGGGCCCTGGGGCAGCCCTGTGTGGTCCCTGGGGGACAAGCTTCCAGTGTCTCTTTCTACCTTCTCAGCTGCTTGCTCAAGCTGGGAAGGAAGGAAGGACATGGATGAAATAAACCAACAACGTGGCTTCATGTTGGTCCCTGTAAGCATCAAAGAAATGGGGGGACACCATCTTATGTTCTTGCCTTTGGTGTCCCCGATAATCTGAGGCCCCTCCCTCCCTTAGTACAAGCACAAGGATCTGTCAGAACCCAGATGACCAATGCCGAGTGGTTGTCAAGGCAACAACCACATCAGCTGGCTCTGACAGCAAGTGCTATCTTTATCCTGGGGTTGAGATTGACAGCTGCCACATGGCTGTCAAAAGACAGCCTCCATATAGGAAGTGAATGTCTGTGATTAGGGGCCATTACTCTGCCTTTGAGAAAGCGGAGGAAGGCCTAAAATAAAGCACCTGGCCAGGCTCTCCGTATCTTTCTACCACCTTCATCACAGGGACATAAATAACATTTGTGTATTGGGAAATCGAGCCCAGTTGAGTTTGTTGAGGCCGGTAGGAAGCCAAGTTTGTTCCTGAGCGTTGTAAGACTGGTCATCGCAGGGCTCCGATGAGATGCATGACCTTATGCCAGTACAGTGCCAGGTCAAATCAGTGGGGTTTACTAAATCGCCTTCCCCTGCTCCCGCAAGCCTACACTGCACTTCGGCGACAGTCTCTGTGAACTGCCTCATTAGAAATCAATCAGGTTTTCCTCCACTCACGTCACCAACAATTCAGGCCTCTTCTCTCTCAAACTATTATTTCACAAGAGATTGTCATTGCCAGCAATGTTTCTATCGGAAGACAGAGAACACAAGACTGTAATTATTATCTAGCAATACATTTCCTGGCTTTAGGTAAATATTTCCACTCTCCCCCTGTTTCTGGTCTATCTGGAATTGCATCCCAAACCCCGGGTTCAATGTCCCATAGAAATTTATCACAATCATATACATTAATGGCTTGAAAAAAGTAAAGAGCACATAATCTAACAGTTCTAAGCTTCTGGTATCTAAGCACTGAACAGGCATTGGCCGGCAAGGCCGTTCATCACACATGCAGCAGAATACGCCTGTGGACTTCCCCACGGCCACTTCAGCGCTGCCGCCATCTGGGTATTAGCACCGTGTTTCAGTAGCACCACTCTGCGGAACGGACGGGTAATTCAAGGTACGGGCCAGGGCGCCCGTGGCGAGTATTAGCGGTACCTGTGCGTGAGTCTGCAAGCGTGCTGCCTGTCACACAGAGGCCACATCCCTGCTGTCCCTCTGGCCGAGAGCTGGTTCTGAGGGCTTCTTTACCCGCCCACCCTCACTCTGGGTTCAGTTCATGTAAATGCCGCCCCTCCCCGAAACCAGGACGTTCATTTGCCTTGAATTTGAGACTGGACGGAGCCTACTCCGGCTCCTGTTGCGTGGGGGGAACGCCAAGGAGAAGCCTTCTCACTCCCATCGCAGTTTGTGGGTCCCCCCGACTTGCCTGTTTCTCCCGAACAAAAGACCCTCAAAAGTAACTGGTGGGTGCACGCAGGGGTAGATCATCTTTACTTCATTTCTGAGCAGTTTTTCTCCAAGCTAGAAATGTGTACTAGGTTCTTGTGTTTAATACAGCTTACCTGCTTCTTTGAAATATTTTAATCCGGAGCATCCTTTTCCCAGCTGCAGTGGGCGGTGCAGCCGGGGACCAGGTTCCAGCAGCTGCTGTGAGTAAACCCCTAGCTACTGAGCTGATGATGAGGGTGGCGCAAGGAGCAGGCTGGGGAGGGAAAGGCCCTTCTCCCAGGGAAAGGCACTGTCCTGGCAAAGTGAGAAGAATAGAGGCCCACGTTCCCTTTCTTATACAAGTCTAGTTGACCCTTGAACAAGGCAGGGGTTGGGGTGCCAAACCCCATGCAGTCGAAAACCCACCTATTTTACTTCTGACCCCCCCAATGTAAGTTTCCCTTGGTAGCTGTGGGGTATTGGTTCCAGAACCGCCCCCTCCCTCCACCACACAAGACACCAAAATTCGTGGATGCTCAAGTGCCCCATATAAAGTGGCACAGATTGGTGCAATCTACCCTCCACATCCACGGACCCCCAACTGCGGATGGAAAAACAGTACAAGCATTAGTCAGAAAAAATCCGTGTATGAATGCACCCATGCAGCTCGAACCTGTGTTGTTCAAGGGTCAACTGTTCTTTTCATTTGCTTTTTAAGAATTTCCACAGGAATTATATCCCCAGCTCAGAAATGTCTTCTGTAAAACCTAAATCCCTTAGCTTTGCTAAATCCTGTAGTTTCTGCCTCCTTCCTCTGTCCAGACATGGTCTGCAGGGATTAGGGACAGACCGAGGGACATAGCCGGCACTTTCTCTTCCTCCCTAGCTGAATACTGGGTGAAGAAAGGGCCCTCCGCCTGGATGAATTAAGGGATGTTCCTACGAGCTCTCCCACGGTATTTGAAACAGCAGCCATCCCAGCACAGGTGGGCAGGGAGGACGATTCCATCAAGGTCAACTGACAAGATACTTTGTTCCTTGGACAAGCGCGGCTCTCTCTGTTTCCTGATACTTTTGAGGTAGTCTGGGAAAAATCTGGTTTCTTCGATTTTCTCTTTGAAGGGTGAAGAAAAGACATTATTTCACAGACCTGCCTAATTTGGCACCTTGCCCGGGAGCTGAGCCCAGGAGATGCCTCATTGTCCTGGCTGTCAGGGAGCAGCAAGTGTGACAGAACCATCCTAACTCGAGGGACAGTGTGTGGCTAACAGAACACAGTGGACTTTGTTTTGTTATGATCCCAAGTGGGACCTGAAATGCACAGAGTGAAACCTCCAGGAGGTGGCCCCTGGGTTGGAAGAGGTCATGGTCAGCGGGCTGCGGCGGTCTATGGTGGCGGTGGCTTCCTCCTGGACTTAGGACGCGTTGGGGTTTTTGAGCGGCTGTGGCTTCCTCGGCCTTTGGGAGTGGACGGTGTGTGCCTGGGAGCATGACAGGCAGCACTGAGTCCGCACGGTGGGCACAGAGCATTTCTGCATGGTTTTCAGGGTCTGGCAGAAACCGGCCGATAAGTTGTCTTTGGTGCAAAGCACATCTGTGGGAGGAGAAAAAAGTTCAGAAAATACCAAAGAGTATCCTTTGTAAGTGAATGAGCATGACTTCTATTAATAATGGAAGACTTTATATGTGTACCAAGAGAGGTTCCATAACAATCCATAATAATAGTGGACGTCCGCGGAACCTGTCACGTATCAGGCACCGTGCAGAGTTTGCGTTAAACTGAACTATCAGTGATGATTCTTCACGCCCCTGTGGCAGTGTCCAACATGCTCCATTGCCACGGTCACCTGGTGGGTCATGAATCCTACTCTACTTCTGCACTTTGGGTTCAGCTCTATGACGGGCAATGGGATGTTAGTGGGCAGGACGATCCCTGTGGGGCCTTGGGATGTGCAGAAGGAGGACCCTGCCCTGCTGAGCTTCTGCCATCATTGTGAGAACACGGCTCGGGTGGCCACTGAGCCAAGGAGGATGAGAGACTTACGAAGCTGATTGAGACCAAACTGACAGCTGGCAGCCAAGCCGACCGAGGCCTGGCTAGCTCAGCTGCACCTCAGCAGACCTGGAGATGCAATGATGGTTTTAATCCACACGATGCTGGTTTTAACTCCCCACGGGTGGAGGTGTTTTGCTCTGCAGTATTGTTATGCAGCTGAATGCAATGGTTACGTGCATTGGTTCATTCAATTTTCACAACAGCAATGTCAGGTAAATACAATGATTCTCGCTGCTTTACAAACGAGGAATGTAAGACCTACCGAAGTTAAGAACTTGCACAATGTTACCCGCTGCTAAGTGGTGCAGTAAGATCTGGACACAGGCAGTACTGATCCTGCAGCTCTTGCTTTTATCCGTCATACCATTCAGAGAACCAAGCAATCCCCCGGCTGGCCAACCACCCACTGCTTTCCGAGCATCGCTCAGCAGAGTGAGTAATGTGGTCCCTGCCGTCTCATCTAGAAATGTACCGTGGACGTGAAGGCACCAGATACACAGAGATAATTCACATCACAAGTGTATAATTAGTTACCTTATTCTGCTCTAATTAGCTCTGGCAAGAAGTCCTTTAACTGGGGGGTGGGAGGGTCCTGCTTTGCTCAAACACGAAGCAGGGAATTAGAGCAGATTTCTCAGGTACCACCGCCACACAGTCTGTGGGTGGGACGCAGACCCTCGCCCACTAACTCCTGGTCGGGAAGGACTTCAACAAGGTCCAAAGCACAGCTTTCTCTTCTGTAAAGGGAAATTGTTTCAAACTTTGCCCGAGTGCCTCTCTGAGCTCTGGCTGTCTTTCCTTTTCCTTTACAAAAAAAGATTTGAAGAGTCGCAAAGGAAAGCTTTTTTCACAACCAGGTATCTTCCTCTGTAAGTAGAACTGTCAGTAAAAGTAGAAATCGAGGTCATATCCTTTTTACTCAAAACCCGGGACAGTATTTTTGCCTGTCTCTGGTTTTTTCACCTGCTTTTTATCTCTTCAGAACACATCATTCCCTTGAAGGTGCCTTTTTTTTTTTTAAATTTAAGAAATTGATGTCTTCTGCTCTCTGTGAAATTCCATTTTGTGAGAAAATCGGAAGTGCCCCTGAGAACAGGTGACATCCAATGCTCCCCGAACCCCGCTTTGCTGCTCACTCTTTCCTTCTTTAGGCTTCTTCTTACGCCGGTTGTAACAATGCGTGTCTCCTAAAGTCCCACAGGAAACTTCGGTACAGGCTCTGACATTTGAGAAAGAGTACGTGTTTCAGCCAAGTGTTCCTATTGAGGAAAGAAACTGGAGCTTCTCATCTCCCAGGTCTCTCCCCCACTGAGCGGCTGGCGTTCTCCATGGGGCCTGGGCCATGGGGGCTGCTGTTTGGAACAGGGACAGGATTCCTTCCTAGGCTTCTGGCTTTGGAGCCAGGCTCCGCACAGAAACCTGGGTGGCAGGGCTGCCCCAGGCTCTCAGCCAGCCTCTCCTGAAGCCTCTGTGGACGGTGGACGGTGGATGGAGAAGGGGTACTGGCGGTAGCTCTTTGCCCCCTTCTTTTTGCCATGAGTGTGTGAGTGCTCTGGGACTACTTCCAGAGCGAGAAGGCAGAGGAAGTGTGAAGTCTGAGCTTACATCCCTTCCCTCCACCAGGCTCCTGCTGGCCATGGTGCGTTGCACAGATCCCCTGTATCCCAGCCTCCGGAGTGGTATTGTTACTGCCGCATCATTTGCTCCAACGTGGCACTACGACCTGACTCGAACTGTTGACACGTGTAAGTCTTTTCTGCGAGGGGCCCAAGTGCCATCTCTCAAGGGTGTCTTCCATCACAAAAGGGGCCTCCTAGAGACCCCCAAATGTTAACCCTGCGGTGGGTGGAATTGTATCCTTCAGATTGTGTCTGCCAAAGTTCTAATCACTGGTAACTGAATTTGGGAATATTTCTTTTATTTATTTATTTTTTAAAATTATTTTTAATCATACCTGATTCAGTATTTATTCAGCTCACCAAGTGATCAGCACAATAGTTGAGTAACTGTCTGTCACTGGCTGTAGTTACTGTGACATTGTTGACTCGGTTCCCTAAGCTGCACCACTACGTCCCTGTGACTTACTCTATAACTGGCAGTTTCCACTTCGCAGACCCCTCCCCTCTGGCAACCATCCATTTTTTTCTTTGTATGTATGAGTTTGTTTCTGTTTCATTTTGTTCGATCATTTGTATTGTTTTAGATTCCACATATACATAAAATCATATGGTATTTGTCTTTCTCTGTCTGACTTATTTCACTTAACATAATGCTCTCTAGTTCCACCCATGTTTTCCCAATGGCAAGAATTCATTCTTTATGGCTGAATGAAAGTCGTTGGATGTATGCACTTCAGTTTCTCTGTCCAATCTTCTACCAGTGGACACTCAGGTTGTTTCTGTATGTTGGCTATTGTAAATAATGCTGCAGTGAACATAGGGGCGCATATATCTTTCTGAATTCCTGTTTTGGATTTCATCACATAAATACCAGGAAATGGGACTGCTGGGTCATAAGGTAATTCTGTTTTTAATTTTTTGAGCAACCTCCATACTGTTCTCCTGCATCAATTTGCAATCCCACCAACAGAGCAAGGGGTTCCCTTTCTCCACATCCTCTCCGACACCTGCTGTTTGTTCATTTATTGACTGTAGCCATTCTGACACATGTGAGATGGTATCTCATTGTGACTTAAATTTGCATTTCTCTGATTAGTGATGTTGAGGATCTTTTCATATGTCTGTTGGCCATCTGTATGTCTCCTTTGGAGAAGTGTCTTTTTAGGTCCTCTACCCATTTTTAAGTCAGATTGTTTGGTTTTGTGTATGTGTTAAGTTGAGTAAGTTTTAAAATATATTTTGGATATTAATCTCTTATCAGATGTATCATTGGTGAATATTTTTTCCCATTTGATAGGTGATCCTTTTGCTCTTTTGCCTTGCTGTGCAAAAACTTTTTAGTTTAATGTAGTACAATTTATCTTTTTTTGTTTCCCTTGCCCAAGAAGCTATATTAGAAAAAAATATTACTAAGAGAAATGTCTGAGATTTTACTGCCTATGTTTTCGTCTAGAAGTTTTATGGTTTCAGGTCTTACATTTAAGTCTTTAATCCATTTTGAGTTTATTCTTGTATATAATGTGAGAAAGTTGTCTAGTTTCATTCTTTTGCATGTATCTGCCCAGTTTTCCCAGACCATTTATTGAGGGAACTGTCTAAACCATTGTATATTCTTGCTCCCTCAGTCACAGATTAATAAACCATATGTGAGTTTATTTCTGAACTCTCTATTCTGTTCCATTGATCTGTGAGTCTATTCTTATGTCAGTACTATGCAGTTTTGATTACTCTAGCCTTGTAGTATAGTTTGATATCAGGTAGCATGATAACTCCAATTTTATTCTTCTTTCTCAAGACTGCTTTAGCTATTCTGGGTCTTTTGTGTTTCTATATAAATTTTAGGATTATTCTAGAGTTCTGTGATAAATGTCACTGGTATTTTCTTAACGACTGCATTGAACCTGTAGATTGGGGTAGTACAAACATTTTAACAATATTAATTCTAATATACAAGCATGGTGTATTCTTCCATTTATTTATGTTGCCTTCAATTTTTTTCATTACTGCCTTATAGATTTTAGAGTACAGGTCTTTTATCTCTTTGGCTAAATTTATTCTGAGATATATTATTCTTCTTAATGCAATTGTAATTGGGATTATTTTCTTAATTTCTGTTTCTGATAGTTTGTCATTTGAGTATAGAAATGCAACAGATTTGCCCTGGCTGGTGTGGTTCAGTGGATTGAGCACTGGCTTATAAACCGAAAGGTCACTGGTTTGATTCCCTGTCAGGGCACATGCTTAGGTTGTGGGCAAGATCCCTGGTTGGGGGCAAGTGAGAAGCAACCAATTGATGTTTTTCTTGCACATTAATGTTTCTCTCCCTCCTTTCCCCTTTCTCTAAGAATAAATAAAATCTTTCTTAAATTTAAAAAAAAGAAATGCAACAGATTTCCGAGTACTAATTTTGTATCTTGTAACTCTACTGAATTTATTATTAGTTCTAGTAGTTTTTTGGTATACTCTTTAGGGTTTTCTATATACAGCATCATGTTATCTCAAAATAATTATTTTTACTTCTTCCTTTCAAATTTGGATACCTCTGATTTATCTTTCTTGATTGCTGTGGCTAGGATTTCCAATACTACTTTGAGTAAGAGTGACGATAGTGGGCATCTTTGTCTTGTTCCTGATTTTAGAGAAAAAGCTTTCAGCTTTTCACCACCAAGTACAATGTTAGCTGTGGGTTTACCACATACCTTTACTATGTTGAGGTATGTTCCTTCTGTATCTAATTTATTGAGAATTCTTATAAGGATGTTGAATTTGGTCAAATGCTATTTCATTTTGGCATCTACCGAGGTGATTACATGATTTTTATCCTTTATTTCATTTATGTGGTATATCATGTTGATTTGTAGATATTGAACCATCTTTGCATCCCCTGGGATGACTCTCACTTTGTCACTGTGTGTGATC